TTCACATATTTACCACATATTTTGAAACCTGGAAGGCTGAAATTCAGTGTGCAAATCAAAATTCCTAAAGTTAGATATTTACTTCAGATGTAGGTGTCTATTCACTAGTGTGTGGCAATAGGGCTTGATGTGATTGCCTCAAAGTAAGTATCTCTTGTCATTTGACTGGCCACTGCCATTCCAGCAAAGAGGTCCTTTGTCACATCTGCCATGCAGATGTCTTAGATACCCCAGGGTATCTCAAGTAGTACTAGCTGACTACATTTAGGCAAGGAGATACAGTTTGTTCACTATGTTAGCAGAACTTGTGTTGACCAAAGGTGACGTTTGAGTCTCTCTTTGGTTTTCTTTTATGTATTTGAAAGGAAAGAATGGGTATCAGTGAGTTGAGGTATTCTATACTGACGAGCAGAATGCATACTTTTGACTGACTGTGATTTAAGACATTAAATGTAAAAGTGCTGATACAGCTTAACTGAATCATTATATAGGACAGTAAGATGTGTAGTATGTTTGCATTTGTGTGTGTTTTACAGCCTGGATAAGTCACTCAGAATGATATGGACATATACCGATAATATAGTCTTTGGAATACACTCCCTGCAGTAGATACAAAAACCCTCTGGGTGAATTAATAGTAAAAGATGGTATGACTAATTTTTGAGAAATGAATGTTATATTCGGTGTCAGGTAGAAGCCAAGGAGTTGAGTAATGAGTTCTCAAAAATGTCAAACATGTTCCATAATAGCTACTTTCTATTGTTAAAAGGAAATGTGCAAGTTGAAATTACTTTTTATAGTTGCTGGACTCTTTGATCTCTATGTAAATACAGGGTAAGTAGTCACTAGCAACAGAATTATATAATCAAAATTGCTAATATCTTTATTGTAAGCTAAATGTATTTTATTAATTCAAATATTTGTAAGGATCCCTGCATAAAAACAACAATGTTTCTAGTACTGTCAGCTTCCTATTAATTCCTGTGTGTCATATTTGTGCAGAGTTGTTTACAAGGCCTACAGAAAAAGGGGTCTGAGGCTGTTGTTGATTAACTCCAGCCAGCAGCTCAGCCTCACCCAGCCTCTCGCTCGCTCACCCACGGTGGGATGGAGGAAAGAATTGGAAGGGTAAAAGTGAGAAAACTTCTGGGTTCAGATAAATTCAGTTTAATAGGTAAAGCCAAAGCCACACACACAAGGAAAACAAAACAGGGAATTCATCCACCACTTCCTATCAGCCATCTCCAGGAAAGCAGGGCTCCATCACGCATAATGGTGACTTGGGAAAACAAACTCCATAACTCTGAACATCCCCATCCCCCCCCTTCTTTCTTCTTCCTGCACCTTTATCTGCTGAGTTCAACACCATACAGTGTGGGATGTGTCCCTTTGGTCAGTTGGGGTCAGCTGTCCCAGCTGTGTCCCCTCCCAGCCTCTTCTGCTCCCCTGGCCTACTTGCTGGCAGGGTGGTGTGAAAAGCAGAGAAGACAGCACTGTTCAGCAATAGCTAAAACAGTGTTGGTAACACACGGATGTTTTAATCACAAATCCAAAACAGCACCCTACAGGCTGTTATGAAGAAAATAACTTGATCCCAGCCAAAACCCAGACAAAGGCCTAACCCAAATGTCAGCAGTGAGAGAGTCAGCACAAGAAAGTTTCTGAATAAATCAGGGAGGTGATGGGAGGAAGTTTAATGTCTAGCCAGAGGGAACTAATCTTAAGTCTGGAGTACAGAGACCGTGGAACTTACAAAAAAGTATATAGTTGGGTCAGTTTAGTTATCTGTATAACAGCAAATGCATGAGTTGGCATGTGTCAATCTCACACACTTCTTGTCTTGGAGTTATTTCTGCTGTTTAGGCAAACCTATGACTGTCTGGGGCAGATCTTACACTGAACTCATAGTACACTTTAGCTGCTCAGCAGTGGAAAGGGAACTTACAGCTGCTTTAAGATTTTCTAGCACAATGAAAAAACAGAATAGGAGGGAAGAAGTAATTTCTGCTGGGCACTGTGAAGGGCCAGGGCACAGTTTGCATTGGAAGTCCTGGTTTAAGTGCTTGCCTTTTGAAGGCTATTATTAACAAATACTAATTACAGGAGGCCAGTGGTTACTTTAACATGTAAGGATTTGTTAAGATACTTGGTGATTCTCAGGATGAGAAGATGAGTGGTGTAAAATTGTCCCTGTGTCTGTTCTTACCTGGTGATGTGTGCTTGGCTTTAGGATACTTGGGGAGACCCCTGTCTCTGCTCTGCAGCAATGTGATGTTGAACTTCACTGTCACTGTTAAAAGTGTATCTCTGCTATCGATTTTTCCCTATAAAAGTGAACAAGAAATCTACTCAGTATTTAAACAGCACAGATTTATTGCTGTTGCAACTGCTTTTGCAAATAACACTTATCACCCTCAAATTTACATTACTTGCATGATGGATGTTAACAAATTTAGAGACCATTCAGGCTTCTATTTGTATACTTGGTGGAAATGTACTCATTAGAAATAGGGTCTGCAAATGCCAACAAGATGATAACAAATAGAACATATTGTGGGACTGATGTGCATAATTTCTAAGCTTTACACTGTATTTGCAACTCCTGATGTGCACAAGGTCAGGAAATAAAATTCCTTTTCTTCCAGAATACTGTTAATGGGGACATGCAGCTGACAAATTGTTAAGTCATTTGTTGGAGTATCCATTTTCCATGATTTTGCAGAGCAGGTCAGGTTGAATAAATGAAGGAGGGTGCCCAAGTATTTGCAGTATTCTTGGTGCCATTGGCTGTTGTAATTGCTGCTGAGAAACTTGTTTATCACTCCATTCCCAGAAAATTGCCTGGAGACTGGCTGATGTTCCTTTTGCTAAGACAGAAGCCAAAAAGAAGCGTAGGGGTGATCACAATGCTTGTCTGTAGGCACAGCTTTTAGACCTGTCCAAAAATGAGCTGAACTGGGAAGTATAATTCTGCCATTCTAACAGGAAATTGAAGGGCATTTCTTCAGAACTGATATTGTGTGAAATTATGTTAATTTTGAAAAAAATATTTTTAGAATTGAATTTGAAAGCAATTTTGAAAACATTGTTTAAAAAACATTGGACTACTTAGAGTTTTATTTAGCAAACACAGGATTCATGTGGAAAACCAGAATATTTTTGGGGCATCCATCTAAGTGTAAGCATTTGTACACTCTGGGTAGCTACACTTGAATTAGTCACTGTGGGGCTTCTTGTTGTCTGTAGAAATATATCCAATGAAGTCCATGTTGACTGCTTACATAGATAAAAGTGCTTCCTAGAAAGCCCTATGAAGAGACCCCACATTGCCTTAGATGTTTATATTTGCAGTGTAGATACCTCACTCTAGGTGAAATAGAGCCTATGATTTATGTCCACAGAGAGTCCTTAGGAATACAGTGAGACTCTGCAAATATACATCAGAATCTTTATGGATACTTTAGGTTTTACCATTTTAACCACCCAGGGGTACTAATTTAAAAAGAAAAATTTAAAAATTTTTAAGTAACTGTAACTAATGTTTATTCAGCATTTTAATGGAGGAACTTATGGTCATTCTAATGGCACTGGAAACTTCATTAACTCCATATTTTCCTTCTATCTCTGCAGTAAATGATTATGTAAAGCAAACAAAATACTAAAATATCATGACTGTTGTCAAAAAGACCATCACAGCTGACTTCTCTAATTAAATAAAGAGATTTCTGTTTTCTGTGACACCTCATTATACCATTTTTAGCTCCTAACAAGCATGACAACAAGCTATGAATACACTTCAGGTCTATGGCAGTTGTGTTTCCCTTATTTTTCCCCTGTAACCATATCTACAGTAGTGCAGTTGCAAGATACTTCATTTCACATTTCATTTAGTCTTTTCCATATCTGTATGATATTTGCTAAGTGAATGTCCAGCTAATTTCATCATGAATCAGGATTGCTAGTTATCCCTTTATTTGGCCTTTTAAATTCTATGAAAATAAATATATTAGGTAATTTACTTTTCCTTTTTCTATCTATATTTATATTTTAATTAATTATTTTTATTCATTTATATTTAAAAGTATTGCTTCCTTGCTACATTTTACAAACATTTTTCTAGAAGATCAGTGATATAACCAAGTGCACTAAATATTGAAGCTCTGTCTGTTATACATAGAACGTTCTACACTGCTATTAAAACCTTTAATTTCATAACATAGTAAAAAACTTTACAGCTTTACTATTTTATCTAGCTTGAGTGGAAAATAATGTCAGTCTAATGACTTTGTTGTAGGCATAAATGAAGAAGCAAGTTAATTCTGAGAATATTTAGCAGGTGTTTTTTTTTTTTTTTTTTTTTGTTGTCATTCAGAATAGTAATATGCAGCTGGTAAATTTACAGATAACTGCAGTTAATCAGTGGACTGTGTACTTCAGTCTGCTTTTCCTCTGTTGAAAAATTTCCTTTCCAAGTTTTAACAAATAACTTTACTAAAGAAAGAAAGGGTTGTTTAGGTCACAATTTAATAAAGTATTTGAACATTTAGATTAGGAAATTAATGAGACTTAAACATGTCTTTAAAATTAAACTCGTGTATAAATGCATTACAAAGTACACCAGAGCAGAAAGACTGAGAGACACTCTATCTTTCAGAGATAATCCATTCTTTCAAACTGTGGCTCATTCTTCCCAGTTTATGTTTATGGAAGCTGATTAATCTTCCTTTGACCTCATTGACATGGGATAATAAGCTGAAATTGTACCAGCTTGTGTGCCTAAGTTTTCAGTTCCTGAGGCTAAATTTTCTACTAAGGTCAATTGGCTTGAAATTTTGGATTGCAAAACCATGTTGGAATAAAGATATAAGGTACTGTAGAGGAAAGAGTGAAAATAATGCTATTTATTTAACCTTCAGAGCTATTTAATGGAAAATTATATCATTTCACAGTCAATTTTACCTATCACTAAGTGGTTTTTGCATATATATTTTTCTGTGCAGGTCAACTTCTATGTAAGTGTGAAGGCAATTTACACCCTTGGACACAGTGTATCTCTGATTGCTCTTACTACAGGAAGTATAATTCTTTGCCTTTTCAGGTGTGTTTTTTTCATGAATAAACATGAACAATGATGAGATGGTTTTAACTGTTGTCTGATTGCTCAGATATTTAGAAAATGCATCAGTTTTACACTTTTCTCACTTAAACAGCTGACAATAATGTAATGCTAACTTGATTTTTGCTAGCACCAGACATCATAAAAAATTTCAGCACTTTACAAATTTACACACATTATAGCCCACAGAAGAAAAAATAGTCCTTTAGGAATGGATTATATAAAGCATTTTATATTTGATTAATAAAAATGACACCTTGAATTGCTCTTGAAAATTAGTAGGATGCTGGTCTCAACACTGGACAAGTGGGCAGCCATATTTTGCAGAAGCTTCTGAGTGGTCTTCAGGAGTGCTATAATCGAAGGTAATCATTAATTTCTCCAAGTAAGGTTGTAAAGGTATGGATAATTATGCTGAAGTGCTGAGTGTGCAATGTTGGGGTTTTTTTTAGACAGTGCGAGGAAAGGCAGTACTGTTTGTTGGTTTTGTCTAATTTTTGGGAGTTATATAGATTGAAAGCAGTCTCCGACTGGTAAAAGAAATTGCAAAATGGAATTATCAGTATCACAGCTTTTCTCAGTCTCTCCAGTTTCATGCCTTTATATATCACTTCTAGGTGTCTAATAGGATAGCCTTTATATTTTCCATCATAAACTTCACACTTTTCTGTTCCACTGCACCAAGAAAAACAAGAAAATGCATCTCTCAGGTTTGGTAGAAAATAAGTACACGTAATTTGTAGAGAACAGTGTGTTGTTTGTCAGAGCCTCATTCCTCTCATGGCAAGTTCTGTAAGCCTTTTAGTCTGCCATTAAGTTTTCTCAGTATTTATATATTCAGAGACTATTTAGAACAGATATATAACCCATAATTATATTTTTGAATATCTTTGAAAAAATTTGAGCCAATCACAGTTATCTTCTTTCTACCAACAAATGCTACAGGTAGATTGTGCATTTTCAAAACTGCTAAAACCTAGTAACACATTTAAGAGAGTGTTAGAGACATCTGAATGTTGTCCATCACCAGAAGTCAGTTATAACAAACAGATCAAGAATTTGAGAGGTGTACTCAAAACCTTCAGTTTAAATATCCAAGTTGAGAACTCCCCAATCTCTGAGTCAGTGTAAAGACCCAAAGTTGTTGTTTTTTGGTTGTTTTTTTTTCAAGGTGGAACATCAGGACTTCTAAGTCTCCCCATAAAGAAGCCTGTTTGTTACCTACAGGAAGTGTAGGCGCCTCCTAACATAGTCAGATGAATTACGAACACAGATAAATTTTAAAACCACCCTATTCTGTATATAGTTTCCCAAGCACGTAGCAAGCAGCCAGTTATTATGGAAGGCTGCAGTTGAAGCAATTGTAAATTATGAGTAATAGAAGTGAATGCAAATGGCTATGTGTGTATGTCTGTTTGTCTCTCAGACATGTTGTAGGGCATGCCATATGTTATGGTAATTTTTAGTGACTGAGTTTGGAAAATAAGAATGTTTCTGTAAGTTTTAACTCTTTGCTACTCAGCTGGTAACACCCTCTATCCAAGAAACATACTTTGCCCTGAGAGGTACCAGGGTTCTTTATAGGGAATGTCAATATACTTTTATAAAGATCAGTCACTCACCCCTGAAACACATTCACCTTTGAATGTAACCAGAAAACTTTCATCTTGCTGTGTTTAAAAAGGAGAGCAAAGAACAACTATTCTAAATGAAACTATCTAAAGATGATTCGTTGGTTAAGTAGTCAGGTAAAAATCAGAAGTTACTAATGCAGTATGCTTGTCAAAATCCTGATTTCATCCAGCAGGATTAGGATTTAAACTCTGGGTATTAATAACACAAGAGATTATTAAAACTGTACATTGCTAGATTTTTATATGTATGCTTCAAATTATATGGCATTTAATCCTGAATATGTGCCGTATTTTTAATGAAAGAAAACATGTAATAATGTGGAGGTTAATTTAATTATAGATAATGTATTCATGACAAGGAAGTGGAAAATTTTTTTTAAGTATTACGACTTGACTTCTGCAGTCTATTATATATTATGTACTGTCTGTCAGAACAGATACAGCCTCAGGATTTTGCTGTTCTTCACAATATCAGCCATAAATGAATAAAAGGCAAAAGGAGAGTTGTTTCTGAAAGTTTCCATGCAGTTGCAATATTCTGTTTTGCATTTATTCCAAAGAACTGAACTTGATTTTAATCTTTACAGAAACATTGTATGGGTTCCCATTATTAGTGTCTGTACAGGACACATTTAAAAGCATTGTACAAGGAAAGGATTTTATATGTGGCAATCTTTTAATCACAAAACAAAGATATAAAATGTGAATTTCTCTAAATACCTTGCCAGACTAAGCTGACAGCATTTTTCAAGTTACTATGGTGCCACTCCTCACATAATATTCTATATGCTTATTATAGTTAAAGCTAAGTGGTAACTTTCTGGCACACTGTTTTCCTCTTGGAGGTTGCCAATTTGTCAGGCACATTCTTGCTTCTGCAAACTTAATTTATAAACAGCAAAGCTAATAATTTTGATTTAGTCAAAAGAAGTTGCTTTACCCTTCTTAGAATGTAAGTTTCCATTTCTTCATTTTGAATGTCTAGGTTTTAATATATCATAAAGTTTTAGAAAAGTGGAAATCATAATGATTGAAAATAAATAGTATTTTTTAGATATTTTTAAAAGGTGGGTTTGTTCCAACTCAAAGTGAAAATAAATTGTACAACAACATATTTCTACAAAACACTGACATTCTAGATCTTACTGTAGACCTTATTATACTCCTGCATAACAAAACCTTCCCAAAAGAGTCAGTTTCTCTGTTATGTGTTTCTTACCAAGGAGAAAAATATGAATCTCCATCATTTCTGTAAGATGTGCTTTCATGTGCATCATCTGTAAACATTCCTCACATGGTACTTTTGTATCATGAGGTAGTCATATCAAAGGAGTAAGCATGCTAGCTTTTATTTCATTGTTAAAGAACAGTATTTCTTTTTTATTCTGAGTCATTGTACATATCTCAAAAAAAAACCCACCTTCCTTCTAAAATATTGGTTTGACAGTCTTGTATATATGCAACATTTATTATTTCAGTTGCTGAATGGAATGAAGAACTAATCATCTAAATTAGTTACTCAAGAAAAATATTTTCTTCTGCTTGCAGCTTGCACGTACCTCTGAATTCCATAGGAATGTACAATGCAGTCCAATGTAACAGGAGTATTTCAGTTTTTCTCAGAACCTACGTCAGCAAATGACATGCATAATCACAGAAATCACTGGGTTTTTGACAAATGCTTTAAGTTCAGCCTGGTTTTATGTCCTTTGCCACACGGAGCTAGGCACATGCATTTCTTATTTATTTCCTTACAGTCACTGTAACTGTCCTTGCTTTAGTAGTTTCAGAATGGATTGTTTAGTGTTCTTTGGTAAATATAAAAATGTGAAGACTACTTGGAAGCTGCCACTGCACACCACCATAACATCCTATTGCATCTTCGTTCTTTCATTGCTCATACTTGCTAAATGCCCAGGCTTCTGGCTTATTTCCAGGTGCAGTTCAAGGTGCTGATTTTGACCAAACAAACCTTTTATCAGTTTGGTTTCTGGGGATTTTCTATTAAAAAAATCTGTTAAATGAGAAGATCTTGAAGGGAATGTTCTTTTAAGTGAAAAGTCCTCAGTTTATACCTTGTTTCCCCTGGGCACTCATTCACTTACTTGAAATATTTAATTTGTTATTTGTCAGGCTTTCACATGGCTGCTGGACTGAAGAAGTTTTGTCTTATTGGATAGAAAGAATAGGCAATGTGATGTTTTGAATGCATTTTTAAATTGTTCCTGCATACACTCACATCAAAGGATGAAAAGCCATTATATAGCAAAATGCAGACGTGAAATAAAAAATTAAACCAGACAGTAGTAGGTAAGACCATCTGAAATACAGGATAATCAGAGTTTTAATTGTGAGAAAAACACGAGGATGAGGGCACACACAGAAGGATATAGTAATCTGTGAGTTTTGTCAATGTATGTTAAAGTCTGGGACAAATCCCACTGGGATCTGTTGGTTGTTAATAGTGAAAAGATGTACAAAATACCTTATTTGTATATTTTGGACAGCCTATAATGATGATGAGGATGATGATGATAAAAGAAAACAGCAAGGCAACACTGAGAATATGACAGGAAGAAAGAGTAGGCTCTTAAAGCTCATACTACAAAGAAACAGTTGGAGAGTAGTAGAATTAGTTCAAGAACTTTCTGTCTAGAAATCTAAAATGCCTGTTTTTAAATCTCTTCTTAGAAAACTTCATTGTACTCGGAACTACATCCATCTGAACCTGTTCCTCTCTTTCATTCTAAGAGCAATCTCTGTTTTAGTCAAGGATGATATTCTCTATTCCAGCTCCAACACAGCTCACTGTCCAGAGGATCAAACCTCATGGGTAATAAACCTCATTTGCTACCTGGTATAATGCTGTTGTCACAAATTTTCCTCCCTGGTCCCTTTAAATATTTAGGAATATCAAGCTGTCAGTGTAGACAATTCTATAGAGAATACAATGGCTAGTAAAACGGTCTATTAGAAGTAGCCAGAGAAAGAAAGTTGCAGCACAAGTAACAGAACTTAATGTTGGTTTGCATGTTCATGAAGGGACAACATCATCTGCCAAAACATGTCATCACCAGCTGTAGCTCAGAATAAATATGGCCACTGCATTAATCAGCTGGGAGAGTTTAAGACAAACAGGAATATCATCAGCTGGGAACGATTAAAGGCAGCTTGTCTGGAAATGTTCCAGCAGCTTTATCAGGGGTCCAGAAACTAGACAGGTATCAATGGAGGGAGAGAAATGAGTCAAGGAATTAAATGTCATCAGTATTATTTAAATATTAACTCCTCTGTACTTTCTGGCAGTGACCGAGGTGGTGTCATCTGCATTCTTGGCAAGATAATATGTTTATTCCATTTTCATGCAGGGAGGTTAAAAAATTCTCAAGTCTTGCTGTTAAAAGACTGACCACTATATGATATTCTCCATTATCTGCTATTGTTGTTTCAGTCAAAAGTGCTGCAAAAGAACCCTACAGATATTGCTGAATACCTTCCGAATTTAATTTACTGCAGTTTAAGCTTCTGAAAAAAAATGGAGGGAAGATATTTTTATATTGATGAAGCCATATTGTCCCAAAGCATAAAGTTCTTAGCAGTGACTACAAAACTGTATGTATCAATTAGTAATCTTTAGTAGTCTTCATTTCTAATGAAGACAAATAAGCTCTGAGTTAATAGACCTGAAATAGGCAAAGTACTTAGTAGGCAGACTGCCAGGGGTAATCAAAGGTTCTTAGGTCCTTGAAAAATTCATCAGTGAACTCTCAAAATGCTACTTGATTTCTGCAATTTTGTTTATTCTCATTATTCTTATAGACTGCAAAGGCTCATACTTTCATATTTGAATATGTCCAGTTGTGTGGACTGTTGAGTAATTTCTGTTGCGTTATATGTGGGATGATCTGACACCAGCTTGGCAAGGCTCTTTTGTCTTGTATTGCCTGGATGCTACTTTTCTTATATAACAGCATGTAGGGTTTACCCCTTTTGTCACATGTGTGTGATGTTCCACAGTTCTGCTGCACGTGCAGATGTCTAAAAGCACACAATTCAGAATGCAGTGTAACTAGGTCCTGAATCTGAATGGCACAGAGCCATAATTCTGTCTGACTCTTTACTGACAGATACCTTCACTGTTCAGCATCTGGAAATACACTTTATACAGAATTAGCTGAAGGAGGAAGGGAAGATATTTTGATATGGGATTCTGGTATGTAAATCGAGAATATAATAAATGGGAGTCTTGGAATTTAAAAGAGATTACAAAGATTTTGGATTTTGCTAATCTGGTTGTAAGTAGTCATACGCATAAAAGAAAATTTCAACTGGTATTTTGAAATATTTAATTTTCTCCATCTCAAATTTTATGGACCATTACTGGTCTGCAATGGGTATCCCTTCAGTGGATACAAAGTCCAGAGGCAAGATTAGTTTTATTAAACAAGATTATCGAACCAAGCTGTTTCTCTGGGCTTCTGTCTTTCTCACTGGACAGTTTATCTCATCTGCTTTAAGCCTTTCTCTGGACATGCTTGTCTCTTCATGAGCTGTATAAGGAGCTAGTCGTCTAGTAGGTGGCTAGCTTTCACCAGAAACCTTGCTTGTAGGCAGCTAAAATTAGCTGAAATTAATTCAAGCATTTGGGCTCTTACTTAGTTGTATAGGCATGCACACAGGCATAAATATGGGCTTGTATGTTGCATGGGATGCGCTGAGGTATCTCAGATACCACAAGGGGCTGATGAATACAAAGAATTATCTCTGGGAGATCTATGCCCTTCTGGTTTCGAAGCTGGTGACCGGGGTCCCTGAGGGCATCTCACTTCATAATAGACACCTATGTTTAGACAGAGGAATCAGTCACTAAATGAGTAAGTTACCTACTTAGGTATTTGGTGTACTTGGAATTTTAACAGAAACAGTGGAGGTATGGAGGGTATTTAAAATGGGGAAGGGTGTAAAGCAGGCAGAAACTAGAAGCTTTATTTAGTTCATTTTGTTTAGTCTGTTACATTCACCATATCATCACATTTCTCAGCTCAGTCTCAGCAGAAACATTTTTGTGTTCAATTCTCGCATCCAAGATTGCTGTTGGGAAGTACCAAAGTAGCAGGAGCCAGCACTGTGGAACATCAGCCACACAGACATCTGAAAATTAATTCTGAAGAGCAGCACACAGACTATAAGTATATGGGAACTTCATTTTATGATACATGCATATGTGTTTTGATAATTAAGAAACACTGAAGCATTTTCTAAAGGGAAAACATCATTTTTAAAAGTCCAGTCAACTTTTTCTTCTAAGTCTACTTTCATGTAAAGTTATATTTTTCACTCAGTTTCCTGCTTAGCCTTGAAAAATTTATAAAGCAACTTCTTTGTTAATTTTTATTATGTTAGGAAGCCAGTTGGGATTTTAATATATTTATTAGCCACCTAGTAGATCATTTAATCTAATAGCCATTTATTAACTATCGCAAATATGTGCTTTTATTGATAACCACAACCTTTTACAATATTTGTGCTCGGAAGTTTTTAAAATTTCTGACTGAATTTGCTATGAGAGTCATCTAAATAAGTTTATATAATTAATTTTCTTTTTACATATACAGTAACATTTACAATGTCTCAGTTTGCTTGACTGAATAAAAAAAATCTCTACAGGATCTGGGTTACTATTATTACATGCAGTTAAATCCTATAGGATATATTAATAACAGAGTAATACAGCATCTTTCCTGCAACAACTTTGATCTTTATTCTTATATTTCAGGTGGGCTGCAAGGCTATTTTGGTATTTTTTCAATATGGTGTGATGGCAAACTTTTACTGGCTGTTAGTTGAAGGACTTTACCTCCACATCCTCCTTGTGCTAATATTCTCCCCCAACAGACACTTCACAATCTACCTGCTGATTGGATGGGGTAAGAACTTAAAACATCTTCCAATAATATTATTTTTTTCTGTATGACTGTACAGGTTCAGTATTTCATACCAAGGCTGTCCTGCTGTTTCTGTTGAATGACTCCTCAGACTCACTAGTTCCTCAAATCAGCCCCAGCAAAAGGTTACAGCCGTGGGAGAGAGGGGGAACAGAACTGCTGAAGCATAACTGCTAGCTTGTTCCTTGGCATGGCTCTGACCAGTGCCAGTCCGCACAATGCCCAGAAGTTGTTCAGGATATAGGTTGGTACAAGGACTGCTACCACAAAACATGTGATTCAGGCTGTCCTAAATTGGGAGGAAGAAGAAAGTTTATCTGTACATCCACAAGCTATGCTATACTATTTGCCTTTTCAAAAAGCCCAGTAATATTGTCCATCTGGTTTTAAATACATGTATTCCTTTCATTTCCAGAAAGTACAATGACATTTATACAGAGCACTTCAAAGTTTCCAGTAATAGGTGGCCATAAAACATTTAGGTATTGCTGGGAAATGGGAATGTGTGTGGAAATGGTTCCTTATGAGATGATTTACACTTCAGTTTTATAGTATAGTCCTTGGAAGTGCATTGGGAATGCATAACTTGTATCTGTCTCCCTGTAGGTCACTCTGACAGCTTGAAAGAAACCTAAGAAAGGCATGTTCTTTGTGTATTAGTCATTATGGCTGTATTTTTCTAAGAAATAAACCCACTTCCCTGCAGTCTTTGTTTGTAATACATTGCTTACATCATGTAGCTCGTCAGATGGGCCTCTCCATCCACTCACTAAACTGTTGACTATATGCTTATATTTGGGGAATAATTGCTTACTAGCAGGCTGAACATTTTTTTTTTTTTTTTTTGTGTGTGTGGACTTATAATTTTCTGATCATCCTCTAAATCTCTTTGGGTTTTTCAGGAATTCCTACCATATTCATTATTACGTGGACAGTGACACGGATCATTTTAGAGGACACTGGGTATGTGTGCAGGGGAGAGAAAGCTTAAAGCCTCCAATTGTGCCAATACAATCCTTGCCTTGGGTATGGTGGTGTTCACACAAAAGTAGTTTGCTGTTCTGAAGGGGACAACCGCAGAACTGAAATTTCAGATATGGCAATAAAGGAACCGGTGCTTTGGAGCTCTTCAGCATGCTGTTTATGCTTGCTGTTTATTTGAAAAATTCTGAAGGCGGAGATAGGTTATGACTAATGTTACTCCTTGAGACACACATTTAGAGCTGTATCTGCTTTGGAACTCAAAATAATACTTAAAATAGCAGTGGGCGTCCGGGGGTTCAGTGCTGCAATACAGTGCAGCAAGATGCTAAGCATTCTAATTTGCTAACTAGCAACTCAAAGTATTGAAATCTAGATAACTTTGTGTATATCTAAATTACATTCCCAGAAGTGAATCACTGACATGTAAACGTATATAAGATGCATGTAGTCAGGTAAGACTATGACTAACTGGAGCTAGGCCTGGCTTTTGGCATGGGAAGGGGAACCGAGATAAGAATTTTGTAGGAAGACAAGACTTGTTGCTTCTGCTGGCCCCAAGCAATGGGAGAGCATTCCTAGGTGATGGGACAAACAGTTTTCACACTTGTTTTTTGCAGCCTGACTAATATTTTATTGATTCAGTAATTAAACTGAAAATTCATGTCCTACATAATTTCTAAGTTTTATTTGCAAGACCTCTAACATCTAAACTGCAGACCAACACCCTTTTCCTTTGCCATTATGATCACAGTTAGAGGAACTCTGAAGGGTATTGCCCTTGCTTAAGATTAATCTTTCAGAACACTTATTCTCAGAGTATTTGGACCAAAAGTGCTGATACCATAGTGAAAATTAAATTTTCATTTTTTTAGACAAAGTTTCAGGTTCAGTCTCACGTTTTCCTAAACCAGCCAGCTCTAACCTAAATATCCCACAAGGAATCATGTAATTTCAACTCTATCTGTCAGTTGCTTTAGATCTTCCTGATACCCAGAGGCTGGTGTTAAGTGCTTGTTGGATAAGTGTCCTTACACAAAGTGAAACTAAGCTTGATTTCCCTAAAGGCCAACGTCCTCCATGATGTCAAATGGTACAGTCTAGTGTGCCTTATGTTTTAGCTGATTTGAATATACATATTGAAACCAGGGAAATAAAATTAAAAGCAGAAAAAGATTGACTGCCAAATTCTAGGCTAGAACAGACATTATTTTAGTGTGCTTTGACTTGTATATAAGAAATACTTCTCCTCATATGTCTTGCTTGCCAGATGATATTAATGTCAACATCATTTTCCCTTTTTTTTTTATAGTTGCTGGGATACAAATGAGCATGGTGGTCCCTGGTGGGTTATACGAATACCAATTTTAATTTCTATTATAGTAAGTAAACTTTGAAGCATGAATTATAGATCAGTTCAGCATTGTGCAGTGCATATAGCCATTATTCTTTATTGCTAGTTACAGATAGGCAAGAATTCCACTTTAATGAAAAGAAATTGCAGTGTAGGAGAAATGTTAAACAGATGCCAAGACCGTTAGAATTTGTTGCCTTCTAAATTTATCTGCCTCCTATTAAATGAGCAGTTGCTTTTATTTGTATGTTGTTCTTTCTTTAACATCTCTCCTGTTTATGAGCCTGGGGGAAGCAAAAATCTAATTATACTTTTCAATGAATTGCAGATTTGATTTTGCGTGTAAATAGGTAGCCCCGCAATTGAGATTCTGATATTATTGCAGCCATAAAAAACTGTGGCTGTGTATATCTTTCTTTAATTGGTAGCCTACTGAAATATATATTGAAGATGAAGTATTTCCAAAAGAATACCATTTGAGAATGTTTCATGGGGCTTTTCCTATGTGGAACTCATTAGAATTATTGGAGTAGCATAATAAAATTCCTGTTTGCTGTGATGATTGTGCAATTAACTTTGGTCATAATATAATAGGGTTATATGTCCTTTTCTGAAAACAGTCACTGTGCAAATGAATATATTTCAGATATACTTACTTTATTTTTAACATTTTAGTCAGAATTATTAGGGTGATATTAGATTACATAAGATTTCAAGAGTCCATATTGCACTTGGGCTTGCCTTTCAATCTGTGCCTTCTGAAGGTCATTTTCAGAGAACTTCCTAACATCTTCATCAGATGGAATTCTGCAGTGTTTAAAGAGAAAGCAGAGTAGGCACATGTGTGAAATGATGTAAGATAAGGACTCACAGAAGAGATGTGTTATGATATGAAGAAATGGGCATGCAACAGAACTACATCATGCAGAGTATACACATACCACAAATGAGCTGGAGAATGGGGGATGGTCCAGAATGAAGAAAATGTGCTGAAAGTTAAAAGCAAAACAAACCACCTGGGTTTTACAGAAAGATGAGTCTATTCTCTGGATGTTCAGTTTTAACAGCTCTATCTGGTAGACAGCTGAGACTTCATGTGCCAGAAAGCAGTGCTTTTCCAAAGTCCTGGACCTGGAAACAGAAGTTATCCAAGTGCTCACTGGCAGACTTAAATTGCAGCTGGATCTTAGCAAAGACTGGGAAATGAGTTGTGAATTAAGGAAATGGAATACTAGTCAGTCAGCAAAAGTCCAGTATATCATAAAATGTGACTGGAATCACTGAGGCAAAGGAAGTGTCATTCTCTTTTTTTTTTTTTTTTTTTTTTTTTAAAGGTTCTATTACTGATTTGATACAAAGGGATTGCAAGATACAGGGAAACATTTAGAAAATGACCTTTTTTGGCTTGCTGGATGCACATATTTAGGATCTGCTATCTCCTTCCAGATATGTTTCTTCTCTTAAACCACATGTTTTAGGGATGAGAGCAACTAAAGATGGCCATGTGATTCTGCAGTGCCTGCTGTATGAAACTACGTACTTCTCTGATTAGATGATTCTTCAGCTGGTTGATCAACTACATTTTGCATTTGGGAAGTTAAGCTGTGAAAAGAAGTTATAAAAGCAGGAATACTGACCCTTTTCTGCTGGATAAGTAATGTATCTTTTTGGAACATTGAACTACAACCAACATTATAATTGTGGCAGCTAGGATGCTAAGCAAATTTACTGCTGTGCAAAGTAAAGCATGCAGTCATAGAGCAAGAGAAGCTAATGAAATGTTACATAAAATTGTTATTTGATGAGTGAAAAACACTACATTCATGAGAAAATAATTTTCAATATACATACACCATGATAAGCCCCAACATTTCCTGTTACCTTCAGAAAAAATAGAAATTAAAGATTCAAATCTTTGAACAATGTGGTCAGCACACTTGCCATTCAACAATGAAAATCGATCATTGCAAGTTCTTTGGATAGGTGGTGTGAAAGAGTCATGATGTTTCTCAACGATGTACTCACTCACACAGTGCCTTCAGTCTGCTCAGGAATGTAGGAAGACTGGAAGATTTGCAGAGAATGTTAACAAAGATGACCAGCAATAACAAATGGCTTCAGTAGTAGGAAGAACATCTGTGTTAAGTCAGTGACGTGAACACAAGAAAACTCTGAAAAAAGCTAAATTTCAGGAAAATAAAGGAGCAGAACACCTAAGCTGAGAGCTCTCATTGACTGTCTTATGTAATGGCATGAAAGAAAGCCCAGAGCATGGCTGATATTGGAAAACTTTAAGAAGAGGAAGAAGAGTGAAAAGAAGAGTAGAATAGAGCATGACTGAGAGAATGTTGCCATTAATATACTTCTGAAAGAAGGAGGAAATCGAGCAAAGGTTTTAAGGAACAATGGTTTAACCACATTAGATTTAACAGGAAGTCCACTCAGTCTTCATGCCTTATTGACTTTTTTCCATTAATTTTTGTTAACTCCAAACATTTTCACTGCTTAGAAGATTATACTGTCTATAAGGTCATTATCCAGCAGTAAACAGTGTTGTGAGAGCAAGTTCTGAAGTCACTTCTCAAAGTGGGAATGGCTTCAGTTAATTCAGTGTCAGAAACCTTCCCTGGCATCTCCTGACAATTTTGGCGTGAGAAAAGTTATTTGGCAGGCTTCCAGATTTCATGCTGTACACATTGCAGACATATTTAATTGGGGGTGACTATTCCAGTTAATATGTGTTACCCATGTTCTCCATTAAGCAAATGTCTCCACAGCTGCCTTCTGCATACTTCCACTTGCATAAACTGCTCTCATTTGGGAAGGAGTGGTGTTCGGGTGGAAACAGTACTTCCATCACATCAAAGTAACTGAGAAATATTTTGCTTGTTATCTCACATTGCAGGTAGTGTAAGGGACTAAATAGCAAGAAAGAAACAACATTAAGACAGTTTAAATGATACATACTGAGGCAATTTGTTTAGACTCAAAATCTTACTGACAGAAGTGAACCTGTAGAAAAGGCTATCAGCAGCATCTTGCTGTTACTCCACTAAAGAAGCATCATTTGTCATCACTCTTGCACTTTCTCTACATTTACATTATTTTCTCATTTCCCTGTTCTTAGATGTTCATTGAACAGTATACATATTCTATCTTTTATTTACAGATGTTATGCTCAAACAATTTTATGGGACTGAAAAGCTGTGATACTAAAAGTAAAATTCCAGGGGACTACTTGTTTCATATTCCGTTGGAACATACTATTCTAAATCTAAAGGATTTTAACAAATGATCAATTCCGTAATAATCTTAGATAAATTAAATTGCTTTACTGTACTAAGTCAGTGGCAGTTGCCACCTTTAGATCTTTTTACCCAGTTTTAGTGGGCTGGATTTACAAGCTCAGTAGTACCAAGGAGTGTTACAAACTTTAAACAAGAATGTATGTTTTTCATTAATTCAGGATTATGCTTACAGACAGAAAGGTGTGTGTTTGAAAACAGACTTAAAAGTAATACATGAATGTCAGTCAAGAATGTGAGTCACCTGATTGTAGCTTTGCAAATGATTTGATGCTTCAGAAACCAAATATATGAGTGTATTCTGTTATAATAGAAACTAGGGATGCCTGTGAAGAACAAGAAGTTATTCTGCCAATCCCTTTGCAAATACAGAACACAGATTTTTTCCTTCTCGTATTTTGTAGCTCACAAATATACAGTGAAATGGAACTCTCTCCTTGTCCACTAGTACTAGCTTCAGTGAATGTGACAAACTAAATGTATATCCCTTGGTCTGTACACTGCTGTGGTAAATCTGTAGATTCAATAAGCAATAACAGGCTTCTGCCTGTTACTTTCATAGGAGACTTGCATCAAGCAAAAATCTAAGGCATCATCTGCCTTAAAAATGTATGTTTAGTTGGATAAAGGCCTATATTTTCTAACATTTATTTTTTAATTATTTTTCAGAAAATACTAGATTTAATTTTCCTATTTTTTAAATCCCTGTCAGTTCCTGTCACTTCCCTTCACCTGTCATTTTCAACAAAATATTAAATACGGAAGGGCATGTGGTTGCTGCGATCATAGTTTATTTATTAATATCACAAATTATACCAGTTATGTCAGAGAAGACACAAAAATTCATTGAACTTGAAAGTTTACAGACAAATTGTTAAGACTGGAAAATGAAGAGTTCTGGCAATAGATCAAGGCAGAGACTGAAGGTTTATAGCAGTGAGGCAGGTGCTGTCTGGTTGGGTACCCAGCCTCCTGATTTTGGGCTTTGGGATAGGGTTAGTTAAAAACAATAAAATGCTCATTTTAACAGTGATATAAATTTTTCTCTAGGTCGATTTCTTCTAAAATGTGTGCATTTGATACAGATGGTTGTTTATGTAGCTGTAGCTGTAGTTTTTAGCTCATCTTGTTGCTGTGAAGGTGTGGATTCCAAGTGTTCCCTCACTTTAGTATGAGCATGCAATACTTAGTGTATGGTTTTCTAGACCGCATCAAACAATCCAGCACCAGAAGGGCTGGCGAACACAAGATGTGAAAAGACAAGGATGAAGAAATAATGGGAGTGAGACCTAGGAGCTACTGAGTCTTATACTTCAATTTTCTACATTTATCAGGGTCTGATCATAACTTTTTTTATGCAAGTGCCTTTCTGTGAACTAAATTAGGAAACAAAATAATACTACTGTTCTATCTCAGGGGGCTGTCACAAGAATTAGACTGCAAGGATTCAGTTCCTTCAGTGATAATGTCTGCATCAGTACTCAAGACAGACAGACACTAGTGAGGCCCTTTTTGTGCTCGATTGGAGTGTACAGATCACCTGTGCAACAAACTTCTCTTCCCCTAATTAGGACAGGATGTATTAAAAGTTAAGTCAAGAGGCAAGAGAAGGTCAAAACTCTGTATGTGACTCACATTTTCCTTTGGTCTTCCAGTCATGAATCCACGTGACAATTTAGAACAATGCTTGATTGCACCAAATCCCATCCAATGTCCCATCCTGCCAGGAAACCTGTCTTCAGCTGAGCTTTTGGAAGATGGGCATTTCTGGCAACTGGATCTTTCAAAGGCTTTTGCTAGCCAGTCTAGAACTGGCAGCCATGAAGAGGTGTGCAGGACATAACAAACCTAGTGAAGGCAGAAAATACACAATAGGTTTGATAATGTAGAGCTTGATGTGTTCTGGCAGGAGGTGCACAACACCCTCTGCTGAGTTGGTTTGTCTGACTTGGTAACTTGCGTATTGAGTGGAGAAGTCAGAAATAACCATTATATTTGTTTTCTTTGCAGGTGAATTTTATACTTTTTGTTAGTATTATAAGAATCTTACTGCAGAAGTTAAGATCTCCAGATGTTGGAGGAAATGACCAGTCACAGTACAAGTGAGTCATATTTTTAGATATTATGTACAGAACCGAAATAATCTCTGAAAGATTTCCTCTTCTAAAACCTGCTACCAACAATTGCTGTGATACTATAATTACATTTAATTCAGATGTACTTTTAGATGTGGTTTGTTTTTCTAGAGGAAAACAAGTGTTTCTGATTTAGATCAACTTCATTTCTGTTTAGGCTTTCTTCCTTTGTGTTTTGGTTTGAACATCAAATCCTCACATCCATTGTTTCCACATCTTTAGAATCAAGGAATGTTGAGGGGCAATTTAAATACATTGCTAAAATTGGATTTGTTTTTTATTATATTTCCATATCAGTTTTTGTTGTTTATTATAATACCTACTGGATACTGTAATCCAGAATCAAGACTCTGTTGTAGTAGGTCTTATTTTAAAAACCCAGATACAGACCCTGAGTTTGACACTTCAGGATGTTAATATGGTATTTCAATGACAAAACCTAACATGAACACTGAAAATTCAAAATATACAAGCGGCCTTTGAAAATGTGCTCCTGGATAACACCTTTATTCATTGAAAAAAATACTGAATTTCTATCCTAAAAGCAAATAAAGTAGTGCGCTGAAGTAAAGCATATTGTGAAAGACAAGAGAACTGGGACTTTATGTGTTTTGTAAACAACGTGACACATTTCATGCAAAAAGTGATGGAAAAGGCAATACGACTAGACTGACATTTGCTTCATAGAGCTACAAGGATCCTCCTTTGTGTTTGCTGCTTGAATTGGCTAAACATGTGGGAGAACCAAATCAACCTAGATTAAATTATGCAGTTGCCACATTATTATTTAGCACAATGACCAACCTATGGGCAGGAAATCCCCTCAGGTTTACTTCTTGTGACAGGAACTTTGATTCCATGTGGTATTTATTTATTTTATGAAAACAAGGCACTCCCTCCCTATCAGCCTGATCATTTTTCACAGTTTACGGTAGTGCTTCATAGTGTAACATGTTCATTAATAGCAACTTTGTCCTTCATTATTCAGCCCTGTGAATTCTTTGCTTTTAGTGTTTGATTGCCTGATTAAGTTTGGATTGGATGGTCTTTAGCCGATACCCATGGGAACAGTAGATTAACCTCCTCAAGAAATACTGCATCTACAGAGCAAATTAAAGGTCTGGAAGGCTCGTTTTTCAAAATACATCTTCTAAAATACAGAGAAGAATATTTTGTCTATCTATACAGAGAAGGCTATTTTGTCTGTCCCTTTCCTTCATTAAAATGTAAGTGCAGTATAGAGAAAGTAATATCAGCTAGACAAAAATTAGTAAGACGAGAATGGAGTGAAAGTGATATATGAGTCTAGAATGAATACTACTCATGCAAGTCACCATTTTTCTTCCTTTTCTCTATCCCACTTGCTTGTATCTGGTTCCATCCTTTTTGTTGCTCATTTTACTTTTGCAGTGGATAAGGTTAAGTTCAAATAAAATCAGTTTTCCATTTCACTTGGGAAGACAGGAAATTTGCTGCCATCATCATCTTCTGCAGTTGTAAATGAATTTCTTCTGCTAAGGAAATCCTATTTGTCCCACTTACTGCTATCACCTGCGGATGTGAGGGTTTTACTATTCTTGAGAAACTTTGCTGTCAGAACTGATTTTTTCCACATAAACAGATGCAGCCTCTGGGACATTACGAATGAAGGAAGGCCATGAAGATTGACACAGAAAAAATAAAACTTCTTGAAATACCTTGACTTTTCTGTTAAAATAGCTGAATTCACAACAGCATCCAAAGGAAGGCCATGAAGATTGACACAGAAAAAATAAAACTGCTTGAAATACCTTGACTTTTCTGTTAAAATAGGTGAATTTACATCACCATCTTTTCATTGTTGAATCAAGTTACATTCATCAAGGCAGTGATGAATTATGGGACTCAACATTATAACTTCTTGAATTTTATCTGATACCAGACATCCATAATCATGCATGACTGGCCCTGTATAATATATAAAACTGATGTTATTAGAGTGAAATAAGTGACAGATAAGGAATAATTAGCAATTCATCATTTCAGTGGTTTCGCAGGCAGTTTGTCAGAGCTCCTCTGCTTAATAATTTAAAATTCTCCTTCCTTGACGTCAGTAGCATCTTATGCTAAAATTTATTATGCAATTGACTACACTGAAAATTAGCTAATGGTATATGCTTAATACCATCAGTATAGTTAAGACATTTTAGTATTTGGGAGTAAATCTGAAATTGCTCATGAAAATCTCACAGCTGAGATTATTCTGGATAACATTTCCTAGTATTTCCTGTGTATGTGCAATGTACAGACTAACTGTGCAATTGCACATTTAAAGGAAATTAACATCAATTAATTTTTAAGAGAGATTTTACCTTCCATACAAGAAGATGTGTCAGTATGACTTTGCAGGAAGGCTTATTGCTTTCTACTCTGAACCCTTCATGCCAGGTAAAAGACATTTTGAGAGATCTGATGGCAGCTTGTGACACTTTATCAGGTGTGATCCTGTGCAATAATGCAGTAAAACCCCACCCCCCAATACCATGACATGATATCGGGCTGGGAACTGGATGCATGTCAAAAAGACACAGCAGAGGGCAGGTCCTACACCCTTCTGCTGTCCAGAGGGCAACTGAAAAAGGGTCTTTTGGTTTAGAGACCTGCAGCCTTTTTCCCGCCTTTGTCAGAATGCCAGGTCAGGAAGATCAAGTATAACATGGAATTGCACGTTAATTTATGGAGTTACTATGTGACCTGTAATCTCACAGCAGGCTTGAAAGGAAAAGAATTTGCAATAAATGACTCTTATTAAGACTGTTTATAATCTGAAGTTATATGAGGTTTCTGTAAACGACATTGCTTCAGGTTCTTAGTAAAACAAGAACTTATCATTAAACTTTTTTTTTTTTTTTTTTTTTTTTTTTTTTTTTTCTCTTTTATTTGCCCAGGAGACTTGCAAAATCCACGTTGTTGCTTATTCCCTTATTTGGAGTTCACTATACAGTGTTTGCTCTATTTCCTGACCGCAGTTCCAATAATTATAAAATAATCTTTGAGTTGTGTTTGGGATCTTTTCAGGTAAATTTTAAAGTTTCTATTCAAAAAGAGTTTTATTGACCTAGATTGGTGCTGCCTACTAACTAAGGAATATTGTCTCTTTCCAGGGGTTGATTGTTGCAGTCCTGTATTGTTTTCTGAACAGTGAAGTAAGTCTCACCTTTCCTACTGAGGATGTAAAATATTGTTTCCAGTAAATGTATAAGTTCCCCTATAATTCCACTCTGATACATGAAGCTGTTTTATAAGATGTTTGCATTCCTATTTATAGAAGATACATGTGGCAGTTTCTATGCAACAAGAGAAATCATTGTATTTGGGTGAAGAGTTAAGAGCTGTTTGAAATCTAATTCCTTGCAAACTGAGGTGTTAGTGTGTCTGCTGTTATTTAACATGATCTAATTCTAGCTCTGTTAGAATCAATGTGGATTATGCAAGTGAGATGCAACAAGTCAAGAAATTTATCCAAAGCTTGAAACACCACTTAGTAAGTATTTAAGGGTAATCATCTGACAAAATCTAACACCCAGAACAGCAGCAAATTTTCAAAAGTGCTCAGCACGTAGCAGCTTTCCTAATCTCGACTGAGGAAGAAGCAAGGAAATCCTTTTGATGGTAGCCACTTTTTAAGGTAGAATATACATTAAACAGCATGCAGTGTCTGACAAGAAATCTGTCTGAAGAAGACACCTGCTTGCACAGGGGATTGACATTCAGGTCTCCTGAGTGCTATTCTGGTCTTTGATATTCATGAAATGCCTGATTTTGGGCTAATCATTTGATTCTATGCTTTAAGTATGTATGATTAGTAGCTAGATACTAAAAGACAGTGTTGCAGCACAAGTGATACAAAACTGATTTTGAAAGTGGCCTTGAGGCATCTCCTCTCAGATAGTGTAGGCACAAACTTTGCCTCAGTTTTGTAATCTCTAGAACAAAGGGAAGCTATCCAGAGGGACCTTGAAAGGCTTGGGAATGGGCCCATGAGAACCCCATGAAGTTCAACAAAGCCAAGTTCAAGGTCCTGCAGGGCCTTTAGTGAAAGGACAAGGGGTAATGGTTTTAAACTGAAAGGGGGTGGATTTAGGTTGCATGTAAGGAAGAAATGTGGTGGAGGCACTGGAACAGGTTGCCCAATGATGTTGTGGATGCTCCACCACTGGCAGTGTTCAAGGCCAGGTTGGACGGGGCTGTGAGCAACCTGGGCTAGTGGAAGGTGTCCCTGCCCATGGCAGGGGGGGTGTGACTAGATGGTCTTTAAAAGTCCCTACCAACCCAAACCATTCTGTGACTGTATTCCAAGAGGTTCCCCATTTGAGAGTCCATAAACATGGAAAAAGTTCCTCACATAATGTTTCAGCTCATCTTAACACATTTTTTTTTAACACAGGTGCAAGGGGAGCTGAAAAGAAAATGGCGGAGTTTGTGCTGGAAGCAGACAGCAGGCAGAGACTACAGACTCCACAGCTCTTCGATTTCTCGAAATGGATCAGAAAGTGTTTCTCAGCTCCACCGGAATTCAAGGGCTCAGTCATTTATGCAGACAGAGACCACCATGATATAAATCAGCTAGGTCCCCCAAAACATGAAAATCTGTGGGATATATCAGTCATTATGCAGCTTAATGTGATATTTTATAAAATGTACAGTTTAGTGCTTTGCTTTTCTACATGTTGGTATTTGGGAAATTGGTTTGTGCAGCCAACCAGTTAATAAGAGACACCTGCCCCATGGATGCTTTCTGGGTTTTTTTAGTAGTATTCATATTAGTTCTGATGTTATCTTGCTATTTACTAGCTGTAACTATTCAAAAACATTTACTGTAATGGTCCTTTTATCCTCCAACATGTCTACAAGAAAGATGTGTGGTATCCTGTTCAATGTAGACTGCTTGATACATGTTGGAAAGTTTAAGATGGGGAGCAAGAAATTTTCTTACACTTTATTTATACTTAAGGAAACATTTCTTTCCTAATTATGGAAAACAAATTAAAAATAAAGAAATGTAAAACTATAATTAACTGCGCTGAGAGTTTAGTGTGCTAATCCAGGAAATCATTAGCATTTGTAGGTAAAAGGTAGTACTTCTCAGCTAATTGTATAAATTTCAGAGATTACTTTCTACAGTTTGATTCCAATCCTGTTGTTCCTTTCAAAAGTGCCTGGTTTTATGTTTAGGTGCAGAAAGTAGGACTACCTTTGCAGTCCATAGGGAAAAGACTACTGTAACAGTTTTAATTAAAACATTAGCATTTTCCAGTAGTGCTGTTGCAAACTCCAGTTGTTCTCTTCTGTTTAAAATGAGAGATTTGTGCTCTTTTATTAAACAGTGTTCTGAAGAGGTGCTTTATTGCTAGAGCAATCTGGTATACGTTACAGCCTTGGATAGCATATTGCTCATTGAAAAGATAATTTTTATATAATATTTTCGTTGAAATTGTCTCTAGAACTACATACTTGGCAGCTACAAGAAGGCATATTGCATTAAAGTTACAACTCCCATTTAAGGAATAATGTAAATTCTTTTAGCTTAATTCTATTCTGTATCTATCTCAGTTGATAAAATTTTGTCCTGGCCATGACTCCAGAAAAAAAAAAAAAAAAAAAAAAAAAAAAAAAAAAACATAAAAGGCATAAATAGAAGGAATTCTCAATGATGCCAAGCCTCTTATGTAGCCACTTGGTAAAAAAAATGACACAGAACTGACAGATTTTTATAGACACAGAACATTTGCATTCTTTAAAAGAATGAAACGCAATGATGTTTACTTCCCATGTCACTTTTAACCATGTCCACTCTAAATAGCAAGTGGGAATTATATATATTTGCATGAGTACCTCTGACCCATAAAATCAATTGCCCTGATATTTCAGATAACAGAGTGTATGGAGCTAGCAGAATCCAGGGTCCACAATATTGCAGGTAAAAGGAAGAACAGCAGCAAGGACACGTCTTGACCTTCTACATGGACATTCTTGAAAATATTGCCAGTACTGGGAATATTGTTGGCAGCCGTCAAAGTGTCCATACACCTTTTGGTCTGATTTAATTTAGCTATTTGTCCGTCAAACACAATTTGTTCTAATGGGATTACCCTGGAGTGATACAAAGCTGTGTCAGACCAAAGATAGAAAAGCCCTCACAGTTCACATAAGTACTGCAGAACAGGTAACTCTCTGAATGACGCCAAACTTTACATAGTAGGTATCATTTGAGTTAAACAATAATCACTTGATGAATTGTTACTTTGCCAGATTTGACTTTAAAGAAGGTATTGATCATCTCCAGTCATTCAGACTGTTTCCTGCTGTCAGTTGGTGAAGTAACTGTGAGATTCTGGCATGCAGTAGGCTGCCCAATGACAGTCCCATGGTGTCTAAAGATATGCCCCTACACAGGTATTTAAACTAAATATATTCCCAAAGGATTTAGACTCAGGAACCACTGCTAAACTTTAGTATTTCTCCTGGATCTCTGAACAACCTTATCAACAAACTCTTCACTGCAAATATATGAAGACACATTGGAACTTTGGGGGCTGCTCCTATACCTAAATCAAACACATCTTTGCACTTCAGGCTTCTATGTCTGAAGTGGCATTGGGACTGTATGGCTCCATGAGATGTGACGTGCAAGATGTAGGTTTTTTCCCCAAATTCTTAGGGTAGAAAAGCACACTTGTCAAGCATTCAAGTGTGCTCATCTTTATGTTCAAAGGAGGTTCTCTGAGTGAGTTGACACACAGACAGAATGATGGTATAGAAATAGAGATTTCAAGCAATCTGTGCCATAAGTCTGTTCTGCATGATACATCACCAATTAAATGTGTCTATAAGTCATTGTATCCTAGAGAAAACTATCTTTGTTCTAATTAGGTGATCTACATTTTAATGATTTCTGGATTATAAAACAAAAAAGCTTAAATAAGAAAATACATTTTGAGTTGAAATGAAACAGCATAGTTTCCTTTAACAGGGTGCAGACGCATTTGGATTTGATTCTACTTTTCATGTAGAAATAATGCCATATAAGACAATGAAGTTCTACCAGTGGGAGAACATAGGTGGTATCACTAAGTTTGTAAAGGAATACGTGGGCATGCAAAGAATGGCACACAAGGGAGAGAGTTGCTGCATATATTTTTCTTTCAAACCAGTGAAAAGTGCAGTACTTTAGAGAACCTCATCCCTCTATTAAAAATCAGAGAATCTAAATACAGAAAATATATTTTATGAGAGTCAGTTTAACTTCATAATGATTTATGCAAGCATTTTCATGTCAGAAAAGGCTCAGAAGGCACAGTGCTCACTTGTTTTTACTCCCAGACAATTCTGACTTCCAAATAATTTTATGCAGTTACAGCATCAACCCCATCAAACAGTCAAACCTGTTTGACTTTCAGCTGCCTTTTCACACAAATACACATCATGTTAAGATGTATGTAAACGATGCAAAACAGTTTGACAAATCTAGTACTTGGTCAATGTTTTGTGACTTTATGACACCTAGAAAGAAGATAGCTTCTCATGGCATTGTATTTTGCACAAGGATGTGGAGTTAAATGCTCCTGCTCTGTGCTGTGGTGACTCTAAGGGTCAAAAGGACAATGCAGGAAAACATCATTTGGCCTTCTGTCATCCCTAAAAGCTAGTTGTTGCTCAGTCCTAGCAGCATCGGGGAGGATGTAGAGGCAGCAAGACAAGCATGTGCTTTCCTGGCATGGCCTTGTCACACAGTGCTCCTCCCTTTCTTTCTTCCTTTACTGCCTTTCTCCCTTTGGTTGCATCAGGGTCCAAACTGACTTGTAAATTCTTCAGATCAGGAAAGCTGGTTTTCTGGCCCCACTGAAGAGCCAGTAGCACATCATGTAAAGTTACTGAACAAGAATGGTAATACAATTCACTCTTATACTGCAGTTAATTGTACTTTACTTTCCTTGGAGCTGCTAGATTGGCACCATTCATTCTGTGTGATTTTTATCAGCATTACCTGCTGCTGATGCCTGAGGGACACAGTGACAGATTGCTCTCCAGTTGCTAACCATGATCAAAATCTAAATATAAAGCGAGCGTTGACTCAAATTTTCCTCTGCAGAGTTGATTTCAGCTAGGTGCTCAATAAACTCAGGTGAAATTCATCTGCCATGGTTTTGGTATCTAAAAGATGGATGTGTCTCTCTGAGCTAAAGATTTTTAAAGTGCCTTCCATAGTCATCATAGAGAAATAGGCACTAGTTGAAGATGATGCATCCCATGTTCCACTGGGCATCTAAGGCAGGTGAGCAGAATCACCTTTTTCTCTATGCTCAGTATAAAATGAGCCAGGATAGCTAGCTAGTAATTAGAGTTCTCACTCTACATCTAAAATTAGGTAAATTGAATCTCTCTTGGAGAGGCCATTCAGTTATCTGGCTAATGTTACCCAGCTAGTCCTTCTTTGTGTTGGCCAAAGTTATCTTCCAAAAAATGTGCAGGATGACTCAAAAGTTCAGGCAATGGAGAATCCCTCGGTTCATCTGGTAGAGTGCCCTTGTGGTTGACTGCCTTCTGTGATAAAGCCAATAGCCTTATGTCCGCTTTGATCTGCCTGGCTTCAGCTTTCAACAGTTGTTTCTTGTTTTGGGTTTTTGTCTTTTGAAGAGAGGTCATGCACTAAAAAAAAAAAAAAGAGACCACCAGAAATATTCTTCATGTGAAGTCTCTTGAAAAATCACTCTTTAAATCATGTCTTGATTTCCTGTCTGGGAAACTAAACATGTCAAGTATTTCAGATTGTGACAGCGAGACGTTTTCTCAAATATTCTTCCCAGTTCTCTTCTGTGCCCCATTCCATTCATAATAGCTTGAGCCAAGAGAAACAAAGAAAATATTTCACTATCTCCTCCTTCAGGACTGCATACACCATTGACCGTATTTCTCACTCCCACTTGTAGCTCACATGGTCACACCTCTGGAAACCTTTGACTTTACATAGTCATTTTAACTGATCAGAACTGGCTAGTGACATGCAATGAGATTATTTCTGGCATGTTTTCTATCGTAGAAACTAGTACCTTTTTAAAATATGTTGGCTTTGGTGTCTCAGTCAGCTTCATTAATGTGCTTTGCAAAATAACCTTAGGAATAAGGAGAGCACCTTTTTAGCCATTGAAAGCAGTGCTTGCTTTCATGAAATATTAAGAATTTGAGGTGTATTTAAGTAAGTACTCTATGCACTCCATGATGGAGTGCCCAAGACCCTGACAGATTGCACCTGAACAGCATGGTGATGGGTGCTGCAGGTTGCCAGCTGAGGAAATTTATTTTAAGCATACATTGGAACTGTACTGTAGTGGCAATAACTAATTGATGGCAAAAAGCATTACAAAAAGCCTTCTGCAGTCAAGTTGAAGGCAGCCCGCCCCACTCTGTCGCATCTACTTCATGTCCTGATGCAACCCAGACAGACTTCCCTCTGCCTTTAACATGATGAAGAGGAAAGCAACAGGCATAGACCCTCAGCAAACCAGTGAATGTCTGGGACAGATTTATGAAATAAGGCATTGCCAAGTGCACGTGTCCCACACTCCATGCATAAGGACTAAGATGAGTCATGTGCATTATTAGTCTCCTATTTTTATGAGTTCTAAAAACATCTGTTGACTCTGAATTTGTCCATTTCAGCAAAGCAATTGTGAATAAATTCCAAATTCACTTTGTACAGAATTTTTTCAGACATCTCTAGTGAAAAGTGAAGCATTAAATGTCTGATTAAAAGGAAGAACTGGTGAATAACCTGCAGAAAGCTGCGATGTATATGAGGGTTACTGTCTGAGCAATTACTGTCTGTGCATAGGGATACGGGAAATACTTTTACCAACAAAAGTACCTTCATGTTACCATGAGTGCCTGTATAAGATGTGGGCTGTCAGTGTTACCGTGACATAACCAAATAGCAGAAGTTAGTATGCAGTGCTGTTCTGCTGATGAAAAAAACAATATTAAAATAAGAATAATGGGTTCTAAGAGTTACAAGTTACTGTTACAAGAGTACATCAGGGTAACATTTAAAAGGAGCATTCAGGGATGTGGTTTAACCACTCTGTGTTGAACCTGGTTCTGCCCAATAACAGTATGTAGTTAAATCTAAGTCAGTAACAATTCCATTGTCAGCTAACCCAGTAGCTGAAATGTCCCAGTCCCCTTTATTTCCCAAAGCAGTGTAATAAGTTTATGATAACCTGCAGCTTTTTTCTTCCTAGCACATTAGTATGAGTATTGTTTTGAAATCCTCTTTTTTCGTCTTTATCGATAACAATTTGTCAAGTGTGGTAAAAATTAAACATAATGTAAATTAATGTGATTATTTTTTACAAAATGTATAGACTATGATGTTGTATAGATTAATGTGTGTAAATAGGTTTCCTTTTCATACTGTAATTCACTATACTTTTCTGGTTTTGCTCTTTTGTTCTTTTCCGCTTTCAGTTTTTAATGTCATGTACCTAACAGCCTTCTCTGAGATATGTTATATATAAAGCTGTGAACAAATAAGCGTTTACATCTTTATGCTATTAGAGGTAATAGTAGTTAATAACACCATAATGGACTGAAGAGGAATCAGAGAATAAAAATTTTAAAGGTTTTTCACAGAATGTCTTTTATCTATCTGATTTATCTCTTTAGGACATGTACTCACAAACTATATTTTCAAAACTGAAAGTGGTCCTTCTGCCTTGGCAGCTCAGGATTCCTCAGCAATGTAATTGAAATTGAATTGCATGGAAAATGAAAGGTCAAGGCTGCTCCTGACATGGGAATGGGCACAGGGGAGAGACACGCTGGGGCAGGACTGGCAGGGGTGCGCTGCTGGTGGGGCCTGTGCAGGAGGGCAGCACATGGAAGAGGAGGTGGCACCTCATGGGGCAGCGCACTTCCCCTGGCAGCACCCAGCAGGGACAAAGGATGGAGTGCTGTTTTGCTGTTCCTCAGAGACCAGGGAATCTCTCCCCTTCTGTGTGTATCTAGTTATCATGGAAGCTGTGGCACCAGGAGGGGTCTTCTGGCCCTCTGAGAGACCCGAGCTCTCATCCTCTCCCACCTTACATGTGTGCCTGTATGAGCTGCCCTTCACAATTACATGACTGCAAAACGATGCAGTGTCCTTGCCCACATGCATGTGCTCTCTCCCCCATTGCTAACTGGGTGGCCCCACAACTAGGTCACCTTGATGTCTGCAGGTGAGCTTCTTTAGGGCTGATGAGTCTGAATGTGCAGAAGAGCCAGGGTACAGGTGGGCAGGGGTGCAGGCAACAGCACCTGCAGGTTTCCATGTCAAGTCTGCATCCTGTTGAATGCAAAACCCACACCCCTTACAAAAATTCTGCATAATTTTAACACTCTCAATGCTGGCAGACTGCTGTATCTAGAGAAATGGATGTCCCCAGAATAAAACCAAAAGTCAGTGTATTGGGGAGCAAAGAGAGTAAGGGAGCCTTCACTCAAGAAGGAGCTTAAAGACGTGAACACTTCTATTACAACTTCTGCGCGGTTATGCTAGGCAGGATCAGCTGCAGGAGTCTCTCAGCTCTGCACTTGTCACCACTAGCCCACAGGCAGGCTTGAATACAGCACAAAGCTCCCAGTGTTCTCTGGCTGTACCAAGGAGCTTCTAACTGGGACATTTGAAAATGTAGAGGAGATCAGTGCCTGGGATAGTGAAACAGTGAGAAATACTGGCTGTGTTCTGCTCCCCTCCTCCCTAAGACAGCAAAAGAAAATGTATTGCAAACTGTGTGTGTGTGTGTGTGTGTGTGTGTGCGTGCGCGCATGCAGGTAAGTTTGGGTATGGACTGCAGAATGATGCTGCTTTTACAAGACATCTTTTTTTCCCTTGGCAGTGTGTAAACCAAATCCCAATCTAGCTCCCAATACCAGTTCTGTTTGCTTGTACCCCAGCAGAAGTTGCCCATTAGGTGACAGAGTGACAGTCTAAAAAGAGATTTACACAGACCACAAGGAGAAACCAGGCACTTGGCGAGAGGCTTGAGAGCCTGTACTCAGGAAAAGCAGCAACCTACACCTCAATCTACATTGTCTGTGTGTAGCTTCCCTGCCAGACCATGTTGTCAGTGGAGTTTGAGACGTGACTTTTACTGCAGTGACTCCATGGCAGGATAGAGGTTATTCCAGTTTGAAAAGGAGATTCACTGGAATGCACAATGCTATTGAGTTAATACAAAGTTCCAAATAATTAGACTCTATGTGTCCAACTCAATAAAATAAAATGTTTTCTGTAAATTAATTTCTATTGTTTATAATTGACTGTATTTTTTTTTTTAATACCCTCATCTTTCCTTAACAACACGGGCTGGGATGTATTGTGAGCTAGCTGACATATAATTTAGGTTGAACTATTGTATCATATCATTTAATAAGCATATGTTGTATCAAAGTAGTTATAGATTTTTCACAGAAAAAAACTAAATATTTTTTAGTGATATCCTACAGAACATAGCCAGTGCCCTGGGATATTCAATTAAATATGATTATTGGATTTGGTAGACAAAAGAAATCAAAATGAAGAGCTGTGTTTTATGTTGAAGCCCCTCTGTATTTCTGAGGTGGTGCCTTTGTAATTGAAGCTGCTTTTCAACACAATCCTGTTAAGCTGTGAAATTCTCTGTTCAGAAAGGCTTTATTTAGCAATAGCCTTCAGCCACTGCTTATCCCTGGTTTCCTGCTTACATTCTTCACCTGCTCTTAATTGGTGCCTTGGGTTTTGGCTGACTGTCTCGGTAGGATATGAAAAAATACTCTGCAGATAATGAGGGAATCAGTAAGCAAGTTTATAACAATATAATTAATAATGGATCCTGACTACTAGGGGACATTTTGTTATCCAGAGCCGTATTCATGAGAAGCAGTTTGAAAATTAAAATATAATCTGAGAAAATTGTGCTGGAGAGGATGATTGTGTTTTATCCAGGTGATGAATTGGACAATTTAATAATTCCTGCAGATTCTAGCTTCTGTTATTCAGATAAGTACAGAAACCATATGGCCTGTTTTTAAAAACACTTAACTTGACCTTATTACTCAACAGTAAAAACATGAAGAAAAATACTGTTTCCCTCAAATACAGAACATCTTTAATCATTTTTCCTGTAAAGACCATAACATCCTGTTTCTTGGATTAAGGCAATAATTTATCAGTTTAGACACTTGAAAGTATCATTTTGTCTTGTAACATATGGAATAAGTTTTTTAAAAATCCTTTAAAAGCCCAGCATATACCTTACTCAGGGTACAGCTCTGGTTACTCATCCTGATGCCCCAAATATGAGCTGACTCCAGCTTGCAAGACACAGGCAAAGGCCCAGTTCATTTCTACTTAACTTTAAATATCTCAGTTAAGTGTTCTATTTATAAATTCACTTTCTATCTGAATGCAAAGCCAAAAATCCAGCCTGAGTACTGATGGTGCCTCTGGCTTATCTCACATCCTGCCCCAAGGGAGGGCTGCACTAAAGATCTGCCTGACGCCTGCGAGGAGCTGCAGCGGGGGACCCGTGGCCCCACCATGGATTCAGCAAGCCCTGACAGTGCTGCTGCCCTCACGCACACAGGGTTGTGCTATAGATATGTTGAGGTGTTGCTATTATTTCAGCTGCTTAGGAAATCTGAATAATAATTTAAACTGAGTGATCACTAGGTTTTTTTTGTCCCACTTCCATGACATTCAGTGGGAAGATATTTACTTTACAATCTTCTCTAGCTTCCCTGCAGTGCAATATTGAGTTTATAGCAATGCTTTAAAATAGCTTAATGAGGAGGGAGAGGGTTTTATTTAAAAGGATTAACGTTGAGTAACAACTGTTCTTGGATGCACAAATGTTAGCAGAAGGAGTTTCTTATGGTTCTGCTACCTATGCAAATTTCCAGACAAAAGTCAAATATTGACTGGCACTGCATAAACTGAGGCTGAAAGTTACAGAGTTGTTTGTAATCACCAGAAGAGTGAGGTTCTGAGAAAGCCTTATGGCATCTAAGGAAAAATTTCACTTTCAGATTCCTGTTCATAAGGTTTAGAGGAAATAACGTGGTATGAGTCTAAACCAGCAGGGGATTAGACCTCATGACCCATGCACTTGCACTTTCTATACTCCCATAAGACTATGGGATCTTAACTGCATTAATATCTTGAAAGTTTTGGAAAGAAATAGGAGAAGTTAAAAAGAATTTGTGAACTTTTCCAAATCTGAGAGTTTAAACACGTAAATGAATCAATCACAAAAATAAATCGGTTTTGATCTGTTTTCAATTGGTATCATCAAACTCTCTATTAATGCTGTTTCAGTCACTTCTTCCAGCTGTAGACTCAGTCTGACATGGTTCCATTGTGCCTGGATGAACAGAATCTGCTGTTGACGTAGATACTTTGAAGGAAAATTTGAGTACTATAAAGAGCTTTTTAGTCTGAGTTCATCTTGTGCCTCTATTGTGCTCTGCATTCATCCCTAGCCTAGAAAAGTTCTTCCAATTACCTATTCATGTACTGATCCATGAATAGTACAACTGTACTTCTATATATGTTCTCCAAATGTCTGCGCTGAATAGTTTGTTTCCTCTGAGTTGTAATTATTCATCTCAGCATTTGGCAATGGTTTTGAGTGTTTTTAACTTTCCTCATGCAATGTGTCATCAAGTTTAAAAAATAGTGATTCTTTGGACAGTCTAGATACTGAAGTATTTTGTTGGCTCTTAGGGTGGAAAGTGGCTTCTGACCTTCACAACTTGCAGTCTTCTGCTTTAGTACATTTTAAAATATCAGATTAATTCAAAATGATAAAAGAAAAACATACAGAAAAAACAATACAAAGTTGAGGAATAAAATGAGCTCAAAACTAGGACCTTACTTTGAGGAAATAAGATTATACTCTTGACAGATGGAAGTGTGAAGGGAAGCTTGGTTTAGGGGGCCACATATAGTACAAGGTGGGTGGAAAAAAGGTTGTGATAAAAAGTCAAGAGCTTTGCTGAAGATACCATTTGAGACAATCACTACCAGGGGACCATTTTCACGGTCTTCCAAAAAAACTTTCCATTATGTATATATGAAGCTAAACTAGAAGCTAAATTTTCAGAAACATGCACTGCATAAAAAACCTGTACAGTTTTGCTCCAGTTTGTCACTAAGTTATGCAGACTAAAAAGTTCAGATATTCAGGTACAATCTACCTATCAACTGATGGTCTACATTTCTGTCCTCCTAAATAGAAATTTTACATACTTTAAGTGACATGAAGGCCATATTTTGGCTCTCTACATATGACAAAATGAAAACTTTTAAAATAAAGAATATATTTCAGAAACACCGATTCATCTGCTAAGATAGAAAAGACAAAAAAGCCTTTCATACCACCAGACCAAGCAAGCATTTTTACACCAATAAACAAATTAAGTAATACATTTGGGAAGGATTTAATATAAATCATGATTCTTGGTCTCATTACCAAACTGAAACACTGTGGTATTAACTATGTCACCTGATGGATTTTGTTTGCTGTGATTCCCCAAGCCAAAATCAGTAACTGAAAAATAATATTCTCTAGACTTTCTCAAGTATTTCCACTGTATTACAGATT